ATACCCAGTTAAATGTGAACTTCAGATAAGCAATGAGTAATTTTTTAGACTCTAAAATATTATTCGTTGTGTATCTGGAATTAAAATTTAAGTGGGCACGCTACCTGGTAACCTTACTTGGCAGACAGGGATGGAGGCTTTGGCTCCCCCTCTGGCTCCAATGGGGAAATACAGTTGCTGATGCCCACAGGCACCTGGACATGCTTCCTTCCCTCCTGCTAGGACCTGGCCTAAGCTCCAGGTAGGATGCTGGTAATGAACAGCAGGTGGACCTCTACTAGAGCACTGCATAGCCCACCAGGCATGGCCAAGCATGAGAGATTCCCCAGATGTGACCCTTCCAGCTCAGTGGTTCACAGCCCTTGCTCTGGTGTCGATGCAGATACTACTCCTGGCTCCACGGCCAGACAGCTAGGTGAGCTTCAACTCCTCATTTTCTCATCTCTAGAATGGGGCAGACACTCTTTTGAGGAATAAGGGAGATACAGCATGGAAAGCCCTTTACACAGTGCCTGGTCCAGAGTCTGGGCTCCAAAGCAGTAGCTTGTTATTTCAATAACCCATTTAGAGGCATTAAAGATTTTCATGCAAGTGAGAAAAGTGGGATCAAAGACTAGAGTCAGTAGAGTCTCAGCAGTAGGAAACAAACACACCAACACACACATAAACTATGCAAAGCAAAGACAAAGATGGGAAGGAGACATCCTCAGCGTTACCAGTGGCTGCTTATGGTTAGTAGGATTCTGTGTAAGGCTTCCCTTTCTTTATTCTCAATTTCCCAAAATATTCATGGTGAGCCTTTAAAGTACTCATGGTAATACTTTAATACTAATAAGTTATTTTAAAATAATTTGGGATGACTTTTTTCTAAAAGTGTTATATTACTTTGGGAGCATGGCTTGAGGCTACTATAAGAAAATGGCTGCCATCTTGGGTTTGAGTCTACAATCCTGTCTTTGGAGGCTTCTGCAGGTGGAGAAGGGGCTCTTCCCTCTTCACTAAATGGCCCAGTTGGCTCCTCACTCCCCCCTTACCCCTTGCTCTGAGCCTCAGTTTCCCCATGTTTAAAATAGGGGTTAATACTATTTACTTTCCTGAGAAGAGGGACATACCTGTTTTATTTATTGGTACATCACTGTGCCTTGCATAAGGCCTAGTGCATAACAGTGGTCAATAAATATTGGTTGAATGATTAAATGAATAAAGTTCATGAGATGTACAGCATTTACAGAGACAGAGTAGCAATAACAAGTGACCAACAATCATTTGCCATTGTTATTACTATTCCCAGAAGGTGTGCAGACTTTGGCATAGATGGACCCAAGTTTGAACATGTTTTCTACCCTGTAGTGGGATGGAAAAGGTTCCTTAGTAGGGCCATGGGCAAGCTGCTTAAGCTCTCTGAGCCTCAGTCTGCTTATCCATTAAATGGGGTGGCAATTAGCAGTGACCTTGTAGGGCTGTGAAGACAGAATGAGCCAGAGGCACAGTGCCCAGCACAGAGTAAGTGGCCACAGTCACAGGCCTCTGCTTCCCCCACCCCCCCGCCCCCGGCTCTGTCGCTATGTGTAGGACAGTTACTAGCCAAGCATGCGGCCCCTGGACGACTCTAACGTGTCTGCTAGTTGGATAGGGTTGCCAGCGAAAAATGCTACCTTTGGAGGGAGGCTCATAGCTGCAGCTCCAAGTTGGAGGAAGAAGCGTTTCAGATTAGAGACACCCTCTCCTCATTTTAGTGAGAAGGTAAGAACTGGGCCGGGACGCTTGGAAGAGTGCTTGGTGGTGAAGTCGTGAAGTCGCGGGAGCTGGAATTTGAAATCGGTCAGAGAGTTCCGCCCCGTCTGCCGGGCCGCTCACCCAGATTAAAGCGCCCTCCCCCCGCCCCCCCAAGAAAGGCGCCGCCAGCCCCGAAGTCTTGGCCAGCTCTTGCTTTTGGACTTAGAGACCCCTTGTTCCAATGTTCCCAAGCAGTAGCTCCGCAGCCGGATCTCCCCAGGCAAAGCCAGTCTAAGTGCGAAAGGCAATCGGTCCCACAGCGGGTGGCTCGCGGTGGCCGGCACAACCGCTGCACACGAGCCTCTAGCTTTTGGCTCCCGGGGTCTGCGGGCAGGACTACTGGATGGGGGCGCCCTTGCCCACGGCAGAGGGTCACTGCCCCGTGAGCTCATGTTCTTCGACGCTTTCTAATCACGTACCCCTTAGTGGCAGGGACCCATAGGAGGCTGATCTTCGCCTTCTCTAAAAGTCTCAAAGTCCTGAAGAAAACTCCCCCAACGCTTACTGTGGGCATTCTTTTTCTTCTTTCTACATTCCCGTGCTTTCCAAATTATTTGTACACTGAACATATGTTACGTTTTGTTTCATTTTCCTAAATTAAAAAAAAAAACAAAACCAAACAACAAACCTCTTATTGTCCTGAGTAGAGAAGTAATAGGTTTACTTCAAACAAAAAGACAAATAGAAAAGACACTTGTCATCCAACTCCCACCCTAATAAACGACCGCTGTTGTGTTTCCTTCCAAATCGTTTTCTCCTTAAATGACACACGCTCATTTTCCAGTAACTTGCTCTCTCCTCTTCCCCCGGCTAACGTAACTCCTCCCTGGACAGCAATCCATCCTGCGCTCCTCCCCGCCGCGCCGCGCGCGTCCGGGGTCTTACCCGTTTTCTGAGCGCCCAAGTCTACACACGGTTGTGAGTCTTTGCTTAAGAGACCGGCCAGGAGACGGTACCTCGCAGGAGTTTTGTCGTCGGGGGCGGGGAGAATAGGTAGACAGAATATAAAGATCCCCAAAAGAAAAAAGGATGAAGAACAAAAAAGAAGAGAGGAAAAAGGTAGTTAAGAAGAATGAAAGACAGGAGGAAAAAAGGAAAGCAAAGGAAGGAAGCAGAGCGATAAAGGACTAAAGCGCCGGGCGGCCGGCTGGCCAGGAGCTGAACTCAGTGAGCCTACCATGCCCTCCTCGAGCTTTTCCGAGTCTGGGGCCTGGTGGCCTTGCCCCTACTTACCCGACCTGAGCAGCACTGCCCGGTAGAGCCCCGTGGCCTCGGCGGGCCCCCGTGCCCGCTCGCCCAGCCTCTGCGCCATTCTCCTGCGCGCCCGACTGCGGAGCTGGCACTGGGGCAGGGAGCGCACAGTGGAGCGTAGTCCCGAGCCGGAGAGTCTCCGCGCCTGTGACGCGGCTCCGAGGCCAAAACCCCGAGGTGGCTCAGGTTACCACGGCGCTCGGACTCCGGGCGCAGAGGCGCCGCTGGGGGAAGGACAGGGGGTAAGGGCGAGGGTAGGTATCCCTGCCCAGGCAGCATGCCGGGCGCGGGTAAGCGTCCGGTGTGAGGACTCCTGGCCCGGCGGTTCCAGGTCCACGGCTAGAACTGGGCGCCTTGATTTCCAGCTTTGGTTTCCTACTTACTCTTCGTTTCCCTGGCCGCTGGCCTCGTTGAATACTACAAGCAGGTGTGGGAGGCTGAAGTATATTCCTTGGGATCGGATCCCAGCGCCAATTAGCAGCTGTGTGATCCTACGATCTAAATACTTAACCTCGCAGAATCTCAGTTTCCTCGTCTGTAAAATAGGTTCTTATCTCACAGGGTTGTAAGGATAACTGATAAATCTTAGAACAGTGGCTAGTACAGAATGAACACTGTATGCTTTTTGTATTTTTCGAAAAGTGTTTCAAGGCATCATCGGGTTGGGTGGCACCGAGAAACTAGGGGACTTCACTGAGGGAAGAAGGTTGGGTGAGAAGCCTGTGAACTCCACAAGGTTTTCTCTGGATTTGTGGACTCTCCTTAATAGCAGAGATGGAAGGACCGACCAGGAGGATCTAAAGGTGATAGGGCAAAGTCAACCAGGCAGACTTGGAAGACATAAGAAACTGCCAATTTTGATTATCTACGGTATGCCTGGTCTGTGTTTCTTCTGAAACAAAAAAAACTAATGTTTACTGTGCACTTTATGTCCGATTTCATCTTCATAACCCTGTGAATTAGTGTCTATTAGCCTTCCAATTTTACAGGTAAGTAAACTGAGGCTCATAGAGGTTAAACGGTTTGGGATCACACAGTGTGAAGCTGGGATACAAGCTCGGATGGTCTGACTTTAGACATGGGCCTCTCCGTTACCTCATTGACTCTTTACAGAAGCGCCGGAGGTTGGGCATTATCTCCAATATAAAGACAAAATAATTCAGACTCAGAGAGATGAAGTGACTTGCTCATGCTTACACAGCTAGTCGGAGGAATCAAGACCCAACCCAGTCTCCACCCGCGAAACTAGTGCCCCTGGAATCTACAACCCCCCCGGAGCTGTCCAGGGTACTGGATGGCATCTGTTCAGGCGGTATCTGTGTGAGCCAGGGAATCTTGAGCGGGCGTTGGGGCCTCAGCCACAGAGTATCACCTCTGTCTGCCTCTGTGTCCTCTCCAGCTTGGTGTCGACTAGGCCAACTGCTGGCCAAACCCTCTCTGGTTGGTTCTTGGCCAAAGGTCAATCCCAGCTTCTGTTCTGATTCAGAGGTCCCTGTACTTCTCGGATCCTCAGTCACCACCCAAGGTCCTAAGGACCCAAGTGACACACTTTGACCTTCAGGGACCTCACTGATTGGCTCGGCTGATCATGTCTCTCATCAACAACCAGCCACCATGAGTGCCAAGAACAATGCTAGACATTTGGCATTTATTATCTCCTATCTATTCTTCAGAAGATCAAATTATATTCAATTTACCATTCATCTCAATTAATCCACTCTTTGATCAAGTATGGCTATGCCCTTTTAGAAATGAGGAAAATAAGGCTCAAGTGAGTTGCCCAAGTTAGTTATGGAGCTGGAACTTGAACCCAGATGGCACCGAAGCTTTTGCTGAAGGGGGAAAACCAAGCCAACTATTGAACAAGGTGGGGGTTCAGGGAAACTGTATCTAGGAAGGTGTGTTTACAGAGCATTCCAAAAGGGTGACCTCAGGTTGCACCCCCTGAGGAACTCTAGGTGGGTCCGACTTACCTGAACCATCTAGTCTCTGCTTCTCATTTTCATTATGAAATATGGCCTGAGGTGAGTATTCTTTCTGTGAACAGAAAGAAAGTGGGTGGAGGTGAGGTCCCTCTGTTCCTTGGGAGGGGAGGAGCAATGAGATATTCATAGTGTCTCGGAGTCTTCTGAGTACAAAAGGAACTGGGCAGCTCAAAATCCTTACCACTGAAACAAATTACTGTCACTGGAGTGTGTGTGTGTATGTGTATTTTGGGGTCATTTATGAGATTCATGCCTTTTTAAAAAATATAGATTATTTTTTAGAACAGTTTTATATTTAGAGAAAAATTGAGAAGATAGTACAGACAGTTTCTTATACCTTGCACCCAGTTTCTCTATTATTAATATTTCACACATATATAGTATGGCTCATTTGTTATAATTACTGAACCAATTTTGAATTATTATTATCAATGAAAGCCATGTCTCCCTAGGATCCTCTTGGCTCTGACAGTTTCTCAGACTCTTTGGTTTTGATGACCTTGACAATTTTGAAGAGTACTGAGATTCATGTCTTTTTTAACGTTGGGGACTTATCCACAGAGTTTCTTCTCCTTGGTCTGTCTTCTCTCTACCTCCTTGGCAAACTCCTCATCTCTCAAGGGACAATTTAGAAGGCTTCAGGGTTTGGTTTCAAGGTCAGTTCTTAGACACCTTCTTTTCTCCTTCTACATGACTTTAAAAACAGTTCTAAGCCAGTGATGCTCAAAATGTGTATTTCCAATCCAGATTTTCATCTTGAGTTTAAATGCTGTCCAATAGGCTACTTGACATCTTCACTTGATAGCCTAATAGGCCAAATTCATAGTGGCTCAAACGGAACCCTTGATCACTCCAGCTGCCAGCCTGTTCCTCCCCTGTACCTCCATTTTGGCAACTGGCTCTTGGCCCTTTCACTCAGACAGGAACTGGGGGTCTGCTTTGCCCTATCTTTCTGAAACTGCGTAGTCCTCAGGTCTCTGAGGCATGGTGGAGTTACCTCCTGGGGTCTCTTCAGTCCATCATCCTCTCCTGCTGCCTCCACCTGTGCCCAGCCCCGACTCCCGCTCACCTGAAGGGCTGCAGTAGTTTGTTCTCCTTCCAGCCATGGTCCACACAGACCCCAGAGCAAGCCTTTAAAATGTAACTCAGACTCTGACCCTGCACTACTAAAAACCCTTGGATGCCGTCCCTTTGCACTTGGAATCAAACTCACATGCCTTGCCTTGGCCTTCTAGACTTCTGCAGCCTAGACCCTCCCTGCCAGCCTCTCAAATCTCATCTATTTGTTCCTTCAAATATATTCAAGGGCTTGGGATGCCTCCATGAAGAAAACAAAGATCCTTGACCTTGTGAAGCTGACATGCTAGTGGTGGAGATAGAAAATAATGAACAAATGAAGTAGACAGTATGTTAGAAGGTGATAGAGACTGTGGAGCAAAGGAAAATTAGAGGAGAGTTACTGGTGAGTGTGGGCTGTATGTGGCAATAAGTGACTGCTCAGAGGGTCCCGTTGGGAAGGGGAGATATGAGCACACGCTTGGAAGGAAGTGGGGCATTAACCAAACAGATTATCTTGGGGAAGAATGTCACAGCAGTGGGAACAGCTAGAGTGAGGGTCCTGAGGCTGGAGTGGGCCAGAATGTTCAGGAAACAGTGAGGGGGCAAAGGTGGCTGGAGAGGAGGGGACACAGGGGCAGTCATATGAGGGAAGGTCAGTGAGGAAAGGGGGGCTGTTTTCCCTCATCTCCCATACTCTAGTCACTAGAACTACTGGGTTCCCTGGAAGCCCTGCTGTTGCTCACTTCCTGCTTATGCACAAGGTGTTTCCTCTACCCAGGAAGCGCTCCCCAGCTCTGCCTCGCCGCTCCTTCCTATCCTGTAGTCTAGGCTGAAATGCCACTTCCTCAAGGAAGTCCCCTTGATCACATGCTCCTGCAGCACCCCAGACTTCCCTTATATTAATATTCACCACTGAATTAGGATTGTTTGAGCCCCATCTCCTCCACTAGACTCTCCTTGCCTGTCCGCAGCTGTCTCCCCAGGGCCTAGTCCAGACCTGGACTTGGATTGAATGCATGATAACAATTTACTGAAAGAATGAATGCAGTGAGTGAATGAATGAATGTACCCACATGGGGAGCTCTGGGCTATGTAGGGAAAGTGGCTAATTCCACAGAGAGTAAGAATGGAGGGAGGCCTACCGCTGCTTCCCCAGGAATTATTCAGGGTGGAAGGAAGGGACTGGGGTCCTGATGTTTCCCCGGGGTGTTCCCATTTGAGCCCTGCCACCAAGGAGGCCATAGGAGAAGAAGAGCAAGGGTGTTTGGGATTTGGCCAAGCCTCTTTTGTGGTTTTTAACAAAGGGATTGAGAGGACCAGTAACCTCATCTGTGAAAGAAAATTCCAGGACATAGAAAAAGAACCTGTTTCAGAGGGCTCCAAGGGGCCCCAGGCTTCTTCTCTCCTCCCTCCATGCACACCAGGGAAGTGGGGCTGGGTCCCAAAGGCAACACTAGCATTACAAAGCCAGAGTTGCATACGGAGTAGCTCCCAGAACTAGAGTTCAAAGAATTGTCTCTTGCATTCCTGGATCCCCCGTGAATGAAAGAATTTTTGGGAAATCGGGCCAACCTATGTCCAATAAAACCTCCGTGGCCAAGGCATAAGCCCCTTTCCCTTTAATGACTGGAGTTTAGTGAGCAAGAAAAATGCTCACTTGCATGCAACTCCTTGTGAAGGTAAAGCTCATTTATAAAGCCACCTGGATCTTTGCTGATGTATTACAGGTAATTGATGGTCTTTCCTAAGGACTGTGATGTGAAATACAGCCAATTCTCATTTGTTCACACTGTTTAGGGACTGGAAGATGCTGGCTTAGTTATAATTTTGGTTAGTGAGAATTGGTACACAAAATATAATACCAGAGTTGTATATTGTACAATATACGTAACTACAGCTGAGCACAACTCAGTGTTGGCTGAAGCCAAAGACATTTGCATTTCCCCTGTCCTTTCTGTGTCTACCACCTGCTTTTTTTTCATGCCCTGATTGCTAAGAAAATTTTCTTGGAGTTGGTCCTTGGTGGCCTTCCATGAGTTTGACCCCAAAGTCTCCTCTTCTTCAATTTGCTCCTCTGTTTCTCCTGGAGGCTGATGCCTCCATTTCAGGAGCATCAAGGAGACCATGGACTCATCACACACCTCCTTAGCCTTATCCCGCAAGATGCATACACCGAGTTATAGGTATGGGACCTTACTTTGTTTATTTGTAAACATTTTAAACCTTGAGGAATAGCACACATCCATCAAGTACACTAATCTCAAGTGCACAGCTTTATCAAGTTTTACATACATGTTCCCCTACACAAACACCTCTCAGATCAATACATAAAACACTCCTGCCCACACACCCCCAGAAGGCTCCCCGGGGCTCCTTCTCAGTCAATGCCCACTTTCTCCCAAGAGTAAACAATATTCTGACCATTACCATCATAGATTTGTCTCTTGTTCTAGAACTTTATATAATGGAATCATAAAATTTACTCTTTGGGGTCTGGCTTCTTTCACTCAACAGTGTGTTTGAGATTCATCAATGTTGTTGCCTGTATCAACAGTTCATTCTGTTTGTTGCTGAGTAGTATTCCATTTTACAGCTACATCACAGTGAGGTTGTGTGTCCTCCTGTAGATGGACATTTGGGTGGTTTCCAGTTTAGGTTATGACTAATAAAGCTACTATGAATCTTTCTCTGAATTTTTGGGTAAACACTGTGTGGTTTCTGTTGGGCAAATGCTCAGCTGTGGAATTGCTAGGTTATAAGGTAGGTGAATGTTTAGCTATAGTAGATACTACCAACAGTGCTTATATCAATTTATGTGTTGTGTTTTGGCATCTTCACAACAGAGATTTTTTTTGACACATAGAGGTCACTTCTGCGCATAATGCTTTGGATTAGTGATGGAGGTGCAGGAAGTATTAGCAAAATTACTGCTTAGATTAACATAGATGGGCCTCAATTCTGACATTGGAAGAGATGAGGTAGGATCTTAGAGTATTTGTCTTTGTAACTTGGAGTGAATCAAAGGGAAGTGTGGTGTCTTCTTTTTACCGACACCCGCCCCCCCCCCCCATTAAACTGTAAACACTGTGTGAACAGGGACTGTGACTTATTCAGAGATTTCTTTATGTATAGCATAGTTCCTGGCACATAGGTGCTTAGTAAAGGGAAACCAACTTACTTGCAGTAAACGTTTATTGAGCATTAGCTGGGCACTGTGATAAGACTTTACCCGTATGGTCTCGCTTAAGCTTCATAATAGTCCTTTGAGATTAGGGAAGAATAGGGTTCTTGTTTTACAGATGAGAAAGGAAGCTGAGGCCTTGGACAAGTTAAGATACACAGCTCCCAGGCGGCAGCATTGCTTTCTGACTGGAGACAGTTTGACTCAGAGCCTGTGGTCTTAGCCATCTTCACAAATGGGTTGTGGGTGTGTGTAGCGCATGTGTGTGTGCATGCAGGTATGTGTAGTAGCAAGAGTCTGGACCCCCTTTTACAGAAAAGGAAACTGAGGCTCGGAGCAGTTAAGGAACACTTCTCTATGGAGTCAGCCGGGCCAGCCTCCCAGCCTGGCTAATTCTTAAAGGTAGAATATTTTTAACGTGGACCCTTGGCTCCTGCCTGCCTTCTCCTTTTCCCCATTCCTAAGCCCTTGGCCACTGGCTGTCACAGGGTTCTCTTTTAGCCTCTGCCTCAGCTACTGATTCTCATAAAGCCACCGTGTTGTGTGAGGAGACACCTGCTGCCACCTCTCTTTCATCCCCAGGAACAGAGAGACTCAAACCCTGCAATCCTCCCTTTAAAACATAGGCCACTCTTTGGGGAAGCGCCAGACCTTGGGACTCATTTCTTTCCAGGGTCCACTTCCTTCACACGCTGTCGGGTTCTCTGCCGAGGTGCCATAATGAGGGCACTGTCTTCCGGATCCTGGTCTCAGGGCCCTCTCACTGCCCCATTCACTCCAGTGCCCAGGCCTCAGAGGCCCAGAACATGGCC